ACATTCTAATGTTGTGGTTAAAATGGATTGGATTAGGTTCATAAAAATATCATGATGTTGCTTTTGAAGAACAAAACTTATTTTTCTCCCAGAGATGACAAAACCAGTCATTATGGGACCTTCTTGCAGTCTGCTGTAGCTGTAGAAATGTTCTTTATTCTAAGGGATCCCCATTCCTTTGAAGCAGTAATTGCTGCAGGAGATGCCCAGACATCCCCCAGGAATCCTGGTCCTCGGGCCGCACCACGTGCCTGTTGTTGAAGCCACTGCGGTCAGGATGTGATGGGCAAAGTTCTGCATCAGAGGTTCTGTCTGCTTCGTTTACATTTACAGATTCAAAACAGGAAGTGTCACCCCTTTACCTGCTTGTTGGTCCTGCGTGGGCTTGGGAGTGATTCTCTTCAGTGTCTCCATTTCACCTTCTGTGGTGGTTTAGTTTCTAATTTCACAGCTTCATGTGGATTCCAAGATGGGTGAGCTCTGGTTTGTGATGTGGAATTCAACAGCCTGTTTTGGTATCTGTCTCAGGGGACGTCCTCTGCACCAGCAGCTGCCACTCTGTCTGCAGTGACATCTGGGGATCTGGATCTGTTCACGGAGCAAGCTGCAAAGTCAGAAGAGGTGGCCAAGAAGCAGCTCTCCAAAGACTCCATCTTGTCTCTGTATGGCGCCGGGGCCATCCAGCAGCAGAGTGCTCCTGGTAATTCACCGGAAACCTGCTTTCAGTGCATCCGTTGTGGTTTTAGAATGTCAATTATATTTCTTCCGTATTATTCCTGTGTAATGAGTGCTTCTGTTGTTGCAGTTTGCACAACTACAAAACTGACATGAAAGAAGCATTGGGAAATAGAAAGCATAGACAGGATGCACAAAAGTTTATTCATTTGGGATTAACAGCTTGGTGTCATATTACTTAATATTGTTTCACAAGCCTTACAGGAAATGGATTATCTTTGAAGCATTATTTAAGCTTGATTTGCATGAAGCTTATAACTGTACACTGTGGTATTTTTTTCTCTAAGTTAAGCAGTAAGTCTGAGATAACACATGAAATCAAAAGAACTCTGAGTGTTTTTTTTTTTTTAATATAATTATAAAGAAATACTAGCATGGTAAGATTTACTGTTTGCAGTTTTAATCTGTCATTTCCTCTGAAATAATGGGCTGCATCTCACGTGAACTGAAATTATATGACGTCCCAGCTGCTTCCATTAAAGCCAGACGCTGTCATCTCCGACTGTTTATCTGGTTGTGAGAGATGAGTGTGCAGATCTTCACAGTGGGCATGTTCTGTGGCCGCTGCACAAGATTCATCCCTGCTAATTTGCTCTGGCTCGTAGCTGATTTGTCTGCTTTCTGGAAGTAACCGGCTCTGAGGGTGTAGGTGAGAGCTGGCCTGAACTGTAGGAGCAGCCAGACCGGAATTAAAGTTTTTGCCGTGGGCAGTTTAGAGGTGGGCGTCCTTTGTCTGTGCTCACTGAGGGCAGCAGTGTGCGATAGCCCTGTTGTCTCACGCGTTTCTTTGCTTGGTTCTTCTGCTGCAGGTGTGTTTATGGGACCCACGAATCTACCGTTTACCTCACAAACACCTGCTGCGTTTCCAGGCTTCCCGTCCATGGGCGTGCCTGTGCCTGCGGCGCCCGGCCTGGTGGGCAGCTCGCTGGGGCCGAGCGCGGGCATGATGGTGAGCGTGCCGGTGCCCAACGGCTTCATGGGCAGCACGCAGACTGCTGTGATGCCGCTCGCGCAGGGCGTGGTCGGGCCCCCAGGGATGGTCGCGCACATGGGCGCAGCCCAGGGGAAATTTGGCCTGCAGCCAGCTCCGCAGAGCCCGTGGAACCTCCCCCAGGTAGGCACCTACCCCCCGCCCCCACCTCTCCAGGGTCAGACCAGGTCTGTCTGCTCAACGGGTTTGTTTGTTTTTAACTCTGAACAGTCTGGCAGAAAGAATTGAGTGGGATAATGTTATAAAAGGTCAAAACTGTCTGATCAGATAGACAAATGAGCTGCCATTGCGCCTGTGTTTAGAACATCCTGTAGAGACTGTTGTGTGGTTTCCATTTTGGATGCCAGCACAGCTGTAATGGTGAGAGTCCCTCATTTGTTTGTATAACAGACAGGCATTATCTTGGGCATCTTTTGAAATTAGCGTGCCAAGCCTTAACCCAGCTCCTTGGTTAGGAGTTTGTGTAGACAACTTAGATCAATCTATCTTTGCTAATAATTTCAAGGGTTCTTGGTAACTTTCACAAATTAGAAAAAAACAAACCCAGCCTTGCATTCTCACGGCACTGTTTCTGAGAGATCTAGGCTGTTCTCCATGGCTACTGTGCATGGATGTATAATCTTTTTGTTCAAATATGTTTGTAGAGTTGTATTTCTTACATTATAATCACATTTATGTTTAAAAAGCATACCCACTAGTTCAGTAATTACCGTAAGATACGAACAAGTCCTTATTTGTGTCCTACGTCTCATGTTACGAGATCCCATTTCTGCCTGTTAGTTCAGAGCTGGGAGACGGCATGTTAGTGTTTCCTCTTTCAAACCCATTCTGACTTCTCTCTGGCTCCACAGACAGAGACCTCAGACGCAGGTTCGTCTCCCACCTTTCTTCTTTGTATGCTTCGTGTTTGATGTTCCTCTGGTATCTGGCTGCCCTTGATTTCTGTTCTCAGCAGCATTCAGAGAATAGGACTGTGTATAGTGATTTTTAATTAACATTAGCAAAATCACTGTATAGCCCATGAATTTTTCAAGTAATTTTTACTATCACTGTTTGAAGGAGTGTTTAAATGACATTGGTCTCTGCTCCCTGGGAATTGTAAGTACCAAATGTCAGTAAGAACCTTTGTGTGGCCAGAATGCTGGTGCAGACCCTGCTCAGGTTAGGGTGGCCGCTGAACCGGGGGGGGGGGGGGGGCTTACCTGCCTTACTTCTGGGCGTGCCAAAGGGGACGCTCTTGCGGGCCATGGAAGGGGGTTAAAACATCCTTTAGCACCTGGGAAGAAGTGGCCTGCCCCTCCAAACACAATGCCTCACCCGTGATGTGGTTAATATTACTGTCTTTGAAGAACTGCAGACAGATGAACTGTTTATATTAATACCGTTCAACCCTGAGCACAGGTTTGAGTCCACTGTACTTTGTGGTAAATCTCCCTGCCTTTCCGTCACTCCCCATCAGTCTTAGAAGCGAGAAGGGGAAGGCTCAGGAGCTGCCCTGGTGGTCCTTGTGGTAGAGAAATCCGCCTGCCAGTGCAGGAGACGGAGGTTCAGTTCCTGCGATGGGAAGATCCCCTGGAGCAGGAAGTGGCAACCCACTCCAGTATTCTTGCCTGGAGAATCCCATGGAGAGAGGAGTCTGCTGGGCTGCCATGCAGGGGCGGCAAAGGGCCAGACATAACAGAGCACAGGAGGCTTATCATGTACACACACGACTCCAGTCTGGAAGAAAAGTACATGCAACCCTACACCTGTTGTCATATATGAAAATTAACTTTAGATATTTATGTAGTTGGCTAAGCAAAAGAGAAATATGTGTTATGACTTTTTACTATTTAGAAAGTACAGAGGTATTTAAGACTTGAGTACTGGCAGGAGAATTGCCGTCATACACAATGCATGGTTTGGAGTATTTTACCTTCAAACATTCCCTTAGTCTTCAGTAGCTAAAAGCACTCTGTTCTCGTGTAGTTGAAAGCTGGAGTAGTATTCAAAGATTGCCTTGGTACTTTTTCACTTGTGGTTCATCTTTGGGGGAGAAGAAACTGAGGCCAGAAAGTGAATAACTATAAACTGATTTGAGATCACTTGGTGGGCAGGGCTAACACATGGAAGGAAATGGAGGCCACGAGAAAGCATTGTGTGGTCATCTGCTTTTACCCCAGGGCTCGGATTGCTTTTCACATGGATGAAAAGTACTTAGAACGGTTATTACACTTCCAAGTCTCACTGTGTCAACTTCAAGTAAAGGCTGCCTCTGGTGAAATACGCTGGCTGTGAAACAGGGTGTAGTGGTGGCTGAAGAAACAAGGGCTGGAAGTTAAGGTGGCTTTTCTGTGTTCACAGGTGAACCAGCAGATGGCTGGCCTGAGCCTGGGTGGCGTGGCATCGGCAGCAGGCTTCGGGCCGTCGCCCAGCACCTCGGCAGGGGCCGCGGGGTGGTCCGGGAGCTCGTCGGGGCAGACGCTCAGCACGCAGCTGTGGAAGTGAGCCCCCGCCAGCGTTCCCGCTCAGACACACCTGCCTCCCCTGTCCATTCATGTACATACCTGTTTTTTCTTTTCCCCCCTTTGTTCATATGAAGACCTGATTGACCGTGTTGGTCTGTTTGATTGAATGTGCCGTGGTGAAAAGCAGGTTGAGAAACCATCCCTGTCGAGGGCAGCTTTGCTCACAGTTCCCAGGATTTCGCAGACACAGTCTCTGGGAAGCTGCTCAGTCAACGTGCATAATCAGTTTCCCTCTCGATGAAATTATAGCTCTCATGTTTGCATATAAGGGAAGTAGTTATCATGTTAGTAATACCTCTAACAGTATGAGCCCCACCCCCAGATTAGCCAGTAATCCTGTAGGAAGGTACTGTATGATCAAATGTTTAATCATATAAATAGAATGTCCATGTATCACTGAGCACTGTTTTCTAGTGTACCCAGACTCTTTTATGTCACATTCACCTCACTGTGCTGTTGTTATGATGTGCTTAACAGGGAACGTGGTTAGTGAAAGGAAGATAAACCTGGGTGTTACGACACAACTTAGTTGAACGCTTGTTTGAAGAAGTCAGAATTTACCTGCCTTCCTTGGAGTTGGGATCCTTTCCCATGTGTACATAGTGCTAGCAAGAGACCTTTCTCCGCACTAGACGCAAACAGGGTAACTCAACAAGCCACTCAGTCCTTGAAGGTGTATCCAGGTTTATGACAGTGATTGTGTTTACATTTTATGGTGCCTAGTACTGACAGATGTCATATCCCTGTATTAAACAGATGAATCCATAGACCTTTTTGTGTGGGTTTTATTTCCTGTGACATATACTGCCAGCAACCTGACAAAAATTACTTCACGTTGCAAAGTCACAATTGGGAACTTGTCATCTGTTTCAAAAACCTGTTCAGTTGTAACAATTATAAGGCCAAACAGGGGGAATAAAAGTAAGATTCTCAGAGTGGTACCCTGCGTGCCCTCAGCTGTACTGTACAGAGTGTCCAGGTCGTAGGGGAACATGCAGAACAAATGGAGACAGGAGCCAAATCTGCACCCGCCGCGTGGCATCCCACAGCCAAGGCACAGGGCAGCCCCGTCACACCTCAATCGTCACGGTGTCCAGGTGGTACTTGGGCTCGTTGGCGAGGTTTGCCTTCTCCGTCCGAGTGTGCCACACGAGGACCTGGGGGGAGACCTGGTGGGTAGGCACGCTCAGGCGGACACATGGCAAGGGTAAGGGCGAGGGCAGTTGGCACAAGTGAAGGGAGTACCTTGGTGCAGTTACTTGCTTTTGGTTCCAGTTCTTCAACGGTCGTGATCTGTTTCAAAAAGTCAGATTCCTGCATCCCGGGCTGGGACCCACGGCGCTTAAATACAGCTTTGGGGTTGGACAAGATGACCTGAAGGCTTACAGCAAATCCTTTATAAGAAAAGTTAAAAAAAAAAAGTCTAAGATACTGGTGTACTTAAAAAAATATACATATATAATTTTGGTCACATCAGAACTTGTTTTTTCAGTACCTATTTTGGGCCAAGTCTTGGTTCACAGAGGTGACCCAGAGCATTACCTGCTTGACAGTCTCAGAAGGACAGTCTGCCTTGACACCAGAGTCTGCTGCCCCGATCAAGGTCTGTGCCCGGGGGTGGGGAGGGCCAACTGTAAAGTATAAAGTCTGGCATGTTGTTAAAGTAGCTTGTGCAGTTCATGGACGTCATCCTACCTCTGCTTTCACCCTCTGGGAGTGACTGAGGCTGAACGCAGCTGAAAAGCGCATAGACTGCCTGTCCCTGGGGGAGTCCCTACCCTGCCGGACCTCTGATAACCTCCCCGTGCCCCTGCCGAAGGCAGCACTGCTCTGATGGCCCTTGGGGTCAGAAGACTGCGCAATACAAGTCAAGTCAGTTAGCTGGGAAATGAATACTCTGTGATCATCATTTGCTGGAAGTTTTCAATTTGATTCCATCTTAAGGGGGTCGGGGCTGTAAGTTCAGGAGATATCAGCCCATCTGATAAATTCTGTTTCTGTATTTCATTTTTCAGGGAAACAGATTAGTGTCAGTTTCCTTAAATGATCTGACTAAGGAAAAGCCATTACTGTCTAATCTGTAGTTTAACAAAGTCAGTGTTAAAGACTCGGCCATGAAGTGCCACAAGGTGTGTCTGCAAGCAGCCGTCACAGACGCCGTGATTGTTAGAAGGCTGACGCCTGACCTCTGCCCCTCACGCCTAAGCTGACTGTAAAGCCAGGCACCTTCTACAGTTAGGAGGACCAATCCCCAGGAACATTTTCTTAGCAAGTTTTTGCCCTTCCTTACATGAACTGAGGTGATTTATGCTGCTTTTTGCAAAAGTATCGTTAGCCAAGCATGGGATGATTGCAGTCAGCCGGGGTAGCTGTGGGAATGCCCAGCGGCATCCTCTCAACCTCTGCAGGTGCCGCCTGGCCCGACCCGTGCTCCCAGCCCCGCTGCCTTCTGGGGAGACACCACTGTGCCACTTACAGACTCCGGCGGGTACAGAGGGCCTGAGTGGGGCAGAACAAGGAGATGATTGCAAATTACAGCCATCCCAGGACTGGCCTGATGTATCCACCAGTCCCGGCGGGGACGGCATGTCCTGACAGAATGCGGAGTCAGCAGCCTCCATTTCCTGTGGGTCCTTGTGGCTGAGAACTGGCCCAGCCACTCAGCCTTTCTTGATTCTGAAACCCCCATTTCCTCATCCACGAGAGGCGTCACACCCTCTCCCCTCAGGTCTGATGTGAAATTAGGGAACAGAAATACCCCACTAACTGCACAGCTCCGTTCAGAGGACCCTAAAACACATAAATGTAAATTCCATCGTAAATATTATTAATATCATGAGGGGAGGTGGCATAGGTCACCTGCATTTCACCCCACTTTGCTAACAAATCTGAAACCTTCCTCATGTAGCTCCAACAGTCATGGGTCCCCCAAAAGCCAAAGGTTCAAATTAACACAATAAAGTGACTTCTACTCAGTCAACTCAGATTAAGGATTAAAAGGTTTCTGGTTTTCTAAATGTTTTCTCAGTAAGCTTCATTCTCTTTTCCTAATTCAGCACCTGCCCTTCTCAAGGGCAGGAGGTATATTTTTCCTGGTGTATTTCTCACATGGCTTCAAGGTACTGATTTTATTTTCTCATTCTCATTAAAAAAAGCAAAAACAGGATCCCAATTGTACAGAAGCCACTGTGAAAATTATATGAAGCCGCTTTGATCTGTTCCCCTTCCTTTTCCCTAAGATTAACACATTCATCATCATGACCACTGGAGGATTCAGTGTTTTCTCGATTTCCTTAGCTCAGGAATATCCTGCAGGCTCTTAACAGCAGTTCTGAGGCAGTTCTGCTCAGGCAAAGGTGACGGCCAATGGGAAGCTGCACGCTGCTTTGCTGCAAGGCCCTGTCCTGGCCCCACTGAAGCGTGGGGTACAGGCTGGTGGCCAGCTCATCACCACAGCAGAGTGGTTTTCTATGTAATACAAAGTGGGTTGGGGGGCAGTTCAGACCCCTTCCCCCTTTGCCAGGCCTTGCTCGGTGAGGTCTCCAGAGGAAGCGGTCACAGCAGCACCAGAAACCACTCAGGCCAAGCCCTGGGCATCGTCTCAACCTGCTGTAAACCTCGGAGTGAGGACTCACCTTCTGAAAGCTGAGCAAGCATCCTAAACCATTGTTTCCAACAGTTTTCTTCATTTCCAGGTATTTATGCCTCAAGTATATACCCTTCCTTTTTGTCAGTGAAATTGAAATGTTGGCTTTAAAAATGTTTTTCAGAAGCTTTTGAGATTCTGGGAGCCTTACAAAAATCATGGGAGTAGGACTCTCTATTCTGGTCAGTTGGGTAAAAAATGAAGGTACATATACACCATGGAATATTACTCAGCCATTAAAAAGAATTCATTTGGTTGCTCCCTTTCACAGAGCAGGATCTCCTGGCTTCCACAGATGGAATAGGGCAGGGGGAGTCTAGTCCCTCCCAGTCAGAAGCACGGGCTGGCCCAGCGTGTATTCACCACCTAAGGACATACGGCTAAAGCCGCAAGGCCTGGGTTTCTCTGTTGCCGTAAAAACCAGACAAAGCATTTGAAAAAGTAGTTTCTAGATGTTGGGAAAGAGGTGCACAGGACAGATCTCCAAAAAGAGAGACAGATGTGAGCCCCAGATTGCTTCCTGATGCGTGTTTCAAGGCTACACCCCTGGGAGGGGAACACACACAGCCATGCTGCCTCCGAGCTAAGAACTCGGGGAGGACAAGACACCTGGAAGTCATGGGGCATCACCCTGGGGAGCAGGAGCGTGGCTGTCTGCAGAGCGCTTGCCCCCAGTCCCACTGGGCCTGGTCAGCAGAGGCTGCTGAGACTCCCGAGGCCAGGACAGGAAGCACTGGAAAGAGGCAGGTGGATCGGTCCCCGGAGGCCTGTCGGGGCTGGACTGGCCACATGCCCCACAGCCCGCGGGCTGTGCAGTGGGCAACAGCAGGGCACCGGGAGAGTGCCCACACGGCCGCTGGTCCACCGTGAGGCTGGACGGGCACTAAAAGGAAGCCTGGGCTGGTTTTGCCTACATTCCTCAAGGTAAGCCTGGAAAAGAGCAGAAGGTTTCTAAGTGACTTCATGTATCCCAGCGAAAAAGCTAATAGTAAATTACTCATATGACCTACAAACACATAATTATATACACACCCACATGTGTATAGTTACATATGGGTGTGTATTTCCTGTTTTTTTGTGTGTGAAGTTGCTCGGTCGTGTCCGACTCTGCGATCATGTGGACTGTAGCCCACCAGGCTCCTCTGTACATGGAATTTTCCAGGCGAGAGTACTGGAGTGAGGTGTCATTTCCTGACCTAGGGGATCTTCCTGACCCAGGGATTGAACCCAAGTCTCCAGCATTGCAGGCAGATGCTTTACCACCTCAGCCACTAGGGAAGCCTATGTGTGTGTATATATGTATGTAAAATATTTATATATACATTAATTTTTACATACTTGTGTGTATATATGTATGTAAAATAAATATATATAAAATACAATCTATTATAAGTAACTGAACACATATTTTTTTCTAGTACCTATCAACAAACTTTTAAATGCCTCAGATACAAAAATGACCAGATGAGCAAAGAAGCAGGGAATTATAATCCCATACTCAGTCAACAGAAATGACACAGATGATAGAAGTATAGAACAAGGATATTAAAACATTATAAAAACAGTTAAGATGTTCAAAAAGGTAGGGGAAAGGTTAAGCATGCAAAGTAGAACAAAGGTCACTTTGATGGACAATGAAATGAAAAATACACTAGGTGGGATTAATAGTTTATAAGACACTGCAGAATAAAAGATTAATAAATAATAGAAACCAAATAAAGTAAACACAAAAGGAAAAACACCAATACACACACACACATGTGTCATAGAAACAGAATGGAAGGTGGGAGCAGGGGATAGAAAAAAAATTTTTTTGAAGAAATAGCAACTGAAATGTTTAAATTTGAAAAAGGAAAGAATATTAAGACAACACTGTCAACCAACTTGACCTTAAATTTGTCACTTAGTAAATTCTGCTTAGTCTCTGAGTCTAGTCTGACTCTTTGCGACCCCATGGACTGTAGATTCTTCAGGCAAGAATACTGGAGTGGGTTGCCATGCCCTCCTCCAGGGGATCTTCCCGACCCAGGGAAGATCAAACCCAGTGATCAAACCCAGGTCTCCCACATTGCAAGTGGGTTTTTTACCAGCTGAGCCACAGGGAAGCCCAAGAACACTGGAGTGGAAGGCTATCCCTTCTCCAGGGGAACTTCCCGACCCAGGAATCAAACCAGGGTCTCCTGCATCGCAGGTGGATTCTTTACCAGCTGAGCTACCAGGGACCCCGCCCAACACAGCAGAATACACTTTCTTTTCAAGTGCACATGGGATATTATTAAAATAGGCCTTAGTCTGGGCCATAAGTCAAGTCTCAATAAATGTAAAAGAATGCAAATTGCCCCAAATATTTCTCTAATCACAATGAAAATAGAAATCAATAATATACAGATATCTGGAAAATCTCCCAAATATCTGGAAACTAAACCACATAATTCTAAATACAAATCAAAGAAAAGAATGAAAAAAAAAAGGTAAACTGAAAACAAAAACATCAAAATTTGTGAGATTCATCTAAAGCAGTACTTAGGTGAAAAATTATTTTTAAAAGCACTAGAGACTTCCCTGGTTGTCCAGTGGCTAAGAATCTGCCTTGCAATGCAGAGGATGCGGGTTCAACCCTTGGTAGGGGAACTAAGATCCCACATGCCAAGAAGAACCTAAGCCTATGCATCACAACTAAAGAATCGTGCACCTCAACAAGAGACCCTTCGTGAGGCAACAAAGATTTCACAAGCCAGGATGAACATT